ATACACACACTCGCACTGAATTACTGTGGCCTTTAAGGATGTTGGTTTTCCTCAGCTTTGGGGCACCTGTGAAGTGTGGCCTTATTCTCCCACGGAAGCTAGGCCATGGTTCTCGGCTGGAGGGACTCACAGATTGGGTAGCGAAGTGGGCAGGTCTGGTTATGGACTGGCCATGTGGTCTTAAGTGCTCCTTGTGTCCAGCTGGGAAGTGCTGGGCATGGGCGGCACAGATTGTTCTAGCCGTGGGGCTGGCTAGGCTCAGACCCCACCCCAGATGGCTTCTTTCTGGGGCCATGTCTAGGACACAGGTGGATCTAGGGGAGGAGCCACTCTACTTTTGAGACACTACTAGGACTGACCCACATGTTCTAGGCTCTGTGATGTGGGGACAAACCAGATGATGTGACCCAGTCCATGCTCACAGCCGCACTAAACCAGTCCCCGGCAGCAGGCCGCGCTTGGCTCCCCTCCCATCCTCTCATGCTTGGGAGCCACATTGGCAGGGAGGGAACAAGGTGCAGTCTGTCTGTCTTACTGGTCCTGTGTGTGTGTCTCCATGGCGTGTTACACGTGTGCATGGTCTGTTATGGGTGTGCGTTCCTGGTTTGTTACATGGATGTGTCTCTGTAGTCTGTTATGTGTGTGTATGTGTGTGTCCGTGGTCTGTCCCATGGATGCTTGTGTGTGTGTCCGTGGTCTGTCCATGGATGCGCGTGTGTGTCCGTGGTCTGTCCCATGGATGTGTGTGTGTGTGTCCGTGGTCGGTTACGCGTGCGTGTCACGGTCTGTGAGGCGCCATCGAGTCCTTTCTTCTCAGCGGTCATTTTGGAAGCAGCCCCCTGCCTTCTCCCCGGCTTTGTCCGGTCCTCCCGCGCCTCTGCCCTGCGTAACGCAGGACGCACCGGACTCGGAGAGGCGATTGGGCTGGAGAGTGCCCGGTCCCCGCACCGGCCGGCGGGGGCCGGAGCCACGGGGGGCCCCCGGTGTCCCCGGCCCCGGGAAGGGGCGGGACTCG